TGGTTAATCTCTGCTCCTCGTAAAAATAAAGAGCAATCGCGCGGTCGGTAGCATAGAAAGACTTCTTAATTGGAACTTGGATCGAAAGGGGTGATGCGAAATCGCTCTGGCGGGTTCCACCCACCCAGAGCCCCTTTCTTTACTCTAATACGACAATGAGATCTTCATCTGCATTCTCATTTTTTCAGAAGAAGCCTTTTAAATGCCCCTCCCCGTAAGCGCACTTCGGCCAAAGTTGCATCTGTTGTAGGCAATGCACAGAAAATTTTACGTTGATTATATGCGCCTTCGTCATTATAGAATACGGCTATCAGCACTCAACTAATTCTTCTGGAATACGTCAAACATTTCACCTTCAATCAAAATCGGGGTGATATTTTGAGGGCACGATAGCGCCAACGCAGTGACTTGTTGGGGACAGTCATAAAAGCCAGTCTAGAAGTTTCATTCTTCCGGAAATGTTTCTAAGAGTACAATTCAGGATAGGTAGAAGTATTTGTAGGTTCGAGCAGGATCCGTGACTGGATCCCTCTACCGCGCGTATGGTAATTGGGGCATATCGACGCTACACCACTTGTACTACGCTATATTTCTACCATTATTGAGGCTAAAAATCGCTAATGAAGTAGATTTAAGAGCGTTTTGATTGCTTCTACCAAAGAAGTGAATTTCAGTTGCCAATTCTGGACACGGAATCAAAGTGGGATCGACTAGCCAAGGGCTACTATCAGAAGTGCCTTGACGAAGGTTCGTTTCAGTTTTGATAGGAGATGATCCTCCAAAAACACTGAATCTTCCAGATGAATTAGAAAGAACTGGCTTGACCGCTATCAAAGAGATCGTTGATTGGGTTGGAGGCTGGCCAACGCTTCAAGGTTGTTTCCGTGAGATACTCATGAATAGGAAGTGTTTCAAAAGAAAAAAAAGTGTTCCAGGAAGCAATTGGAGAGAATGGGACTACTCATGGGAGCAACAGTTGGCGTTGTTGATGAATCGAACCGGTGTAAATGCCGTCATACTGGAACTGGCCGTCACTCATGACCCAGCGAACAGCTCCAATAGCGTAATTGAGGTTGTCAACCCTTTTTTCACACTTCAGGCTCGAAGAGATTTATCTAAGCCCCTCATGTGTCAAAAAAACGGGCTCATTTCAAGCGAGTGCAAGTCGTCTATAACTCATCGGGGTCGTCCACTGCGATGAGGTCAGGGCACGTCATTCGCCGTAGCGCAACGAAGTATTTAACCCTGTGGGAGCTGCAGATGTTCTTTCGCTATACCTATTATAGTAGACAAGTGTGGCATCAATCGGGATCAATATTCGGTCCACCTCCCTGGGCATCTCCTAGAGAGGTGGACCGAATATTCGGCAAAGATTAGCTCCAATCCACAGGCTATGATGATGGTAGCCAAAATGAATTTTTAGGCGTTTTCTGGTGAACACTGATACAATCTAGATTCTTCTGAAGGTGTTAGGTTTCACCTTTTTTAATCGCTAGTGTTCAGCTCGATCAGCCAAAATGGGGTGTCGGTTCTCGTTGGCCGTACCTGATGGGCCCGGACGATCCGATGCTGAAAAACTACACTCATCTGATGACACTCACAGCAATTGCCCTTGGTGAGTTGAAATACCTTCATGTGACATTTGTTCCAAGAGTTTTGATAGCTTTTCCCACAGTTGAGATACAGTTTCGCTGGAGATGCTGAGGGAGGGGAGTCCAGTGTCCTCCGCCAACTGTTAAAGCGGGCAGCACTAATTGGTGGAAACATCGTTAATTGGTGGAAACAGACTAGCGCCGCTTCAAACCAAGCCTCCTGACACGCCACAGCCTCTGCACAACTATGTAAAACTCGACATTAAGCCGTATGGATTCAAAAAAAGGAATAACACGAAACCCACGTATTGAACACCGTACTGAATTCCCACAGAGCACCAGTGGTTGCCCAGCCGGGCAACTACT